TGCAATGATGATGCGGCCATCGAGACCTGCTGGAACTTTTACACAGTACAGGCCCTTGAGCATCCAGTGCCCTGAAATGTCAAGACCAAACTACAACATTGGCGGGGGAAGTGGATATCAGGGGGTTTTCCGGAAGGACATAATGCAGTATATTCTGCAAAATTAACAGTCGCAGGTATTTTCTATCTCGTGTTTGTTGTGGAGTCTGACTTGATTCTGAGACGTAACTGTACGAGAAGTTTTGTTGAGGTGTGATTTGAGGGGACACAACGGAGTCATGCGGAAACTGATAGCTGAAACCTTTGGTCCGATGTTTCTCTTCCTCTTTCAGTTTATAAATCGCCCCCTTTTCTGGCTGATGCTCCTGAGCCTCTTTTCTCTCTCTTAGAATTTGCATGAGCTTGGCCTCATTGACATTTTTGTTCATTCAAGAAATAATGATATAAAAAACCGGATGTTTTTGTTTTTGATTCTGATTAATGTTGATTGATTTATATATTTAGGCTAATTGTAATGCTGCACAAACAATGATCTATGATACCCATGTTTATTGATTTATATGATTAGGCCAATTGTAATGCTGCACAAACTGCTGCACAAACAATGATCTATGATGCCCTTGACCTGTGAAAGGCCGCGCATAATAATACTAACAAGCCTCTGAACCTATCACAAATAAAACGTCTCTTAAACTGAATAATCAACCATCATTTCTCCTAGCATTAATTTTCAAAACATTTCAATTCCAAATTTCCAACGTCACGTCACGTCCTTTTCGCACCCGGATCACATGGTGCATGTCTCAAACAAATCCTGCTCTGTGAAACCAGGATCGAGGCCAGCTGCTCTTCAGGCCTGGCATTATCCTGACTTGCCGAATAGTAGCTTGTCCTGAACTAGCTGCAGCTCTCTGCAGCCGGCACCACATCGTGCTACTTCAAACTAGTCTTTGCTCCCTGAGGTCGCTCTGCAAGCCAGGACCCAGCAGCAGCAGGCCTCCAAATCAAGGTCAGGTTTATATGGACCTATTCATGCTGGTTCAGCGAAGTCCCATTGCTTTAATGCCCCACTGGATCACAAACCACCGGTGATCTGGTCCATCAGTCTTATCACCACTAGCTTATTTATTAGCATAGCTTGTTGGAAGATCAAAGAAAACCAAAGCGAATCCTTTGGTGAACCAAACCTTAATCATTTTTCCCTAAGGATCCTTAAATACCGTCGTGTTTTTTTTTTTTTTTTTTTAAATGCGAACTAGATCAACTTCTTCTTTAGTTCAGGAACATGCCTTACATTTTGCAAGTTCCATGTAGATCCATTCATTGTCTTGATTTGCACATCTCCTATACCCACAATCTCCAATGGTTGTCCATCGGCCAGATAGACTACCCCATAATTTCCAGCAGTGTAATTTTGCATCATTTCATGGTGTGGAGTACAGTGAAATGAAGCTCCAGAATCAAGAACCCAATCATCAATAGGACTATGTACAGCAAGGATCAAAGCATCTTGTACCTCGTTTGTAGTGGCATTTACAGAATCAGCTTCAGGTTTCTTTGGTTTTGTGCAACTCCTCATAAAATGGCCAGGTTTGCCACAATTCCAACATTCAACCTGCTTCCTGGGTCCAAACTTGCTTTTGCTTCTGTACCTGGATTTTGATCTGCCTCTGGATAAGCCTCTGTCTTGTCTCCTTCCTCGAGTGTTGATGTTGAAAGCTGAACCTGAACTTGAGCTTTCACCCGAGTCTTTTCTTCGTACTTCTTCAGCTAAAATCAGGTCTCGGATATCATCATACTTTAATTTGGATTTTCCAGCTGAGTTGCTTACGACTGTTCTCATACCTTCCCAACTGCTTGGAAGTGAAGCTAGCAAAATAAGTGCTCGGATCTCATCATCAAACTCAATTTCAACGGATGACAATTGATTTGTGATGGTGTTGAAATTATTAAGATGCTGTGTAACAGAGGTGCTTTCTGTCATCTTCAGGTTGAACAGCTTCTTCATCAAGTGCACTTTGTTATTTGCTGATGGCTTCTCATACATCCCAGACAAGGCTTCCATCAATCTTGCTGTGGATTTCTCTTTTGTAACATTATGAGCAACTCTTCTTGACAATGATAGCCGGATAATGCCCAAGACTTGTCTATCAAGTATTTGCCAATCTTCTTCTGACATGTTTTCTGGCTTGCTCCCCAACAGAGGAAGATGAAGTTTCTTCCCATATAGATAATCTTCAATTTGCATTTTCCAATATCCAAAATCAGTTCCATCAAATTTTTCAATTCCTGCAGCCTTTATTTCATCAGCCATTTTTACTCTTTCTCGGATTTGAATCTCAAAAATCTGACCTTACAGATGTGTCCGGAATGGCCAAAAATGCTGGAAACGACACTGAGATCACCCAAATCGGACTTCGGATGGCTCCGATTTAAGCAATCAAAGTTTGGGATAACTGGACGCTGCAGATGAAGCCACGTGGCAGGAGGAATAGTTGCTGCGCCACACCGGATCAAAACCCAGTTATGCTGACATGGCAGGATGACGTGGCAAACACGTAGGCAATGTGGGGTCCACCTAATCTGACGTGGCAAATCCGCGGAATTTTTTCGACTGACGTGGCGATGACGTGGCAGGGATGGGAATTATTGTCAATAATTTCACTAGTTCCTGCATGGGAAATAGATGAATAAAAGTTTAATTGTATAAATTGAGAAAAAATATCTTTAATAAAATTAATAATAAAATTATTATAAAATAGTTTTAAAATATAAAAATTAATTTTTTTTATTTTTAAAATATTCTTAAATTAATTTTGTTTGAAATGAGTTAATATATATATTTCAAATTAATTATATATATATATATATATTATATGTTTATATAATACATAATATCAAATATTTATTAATAATTTCCCCGCACATTTAAATTTTTTAGCTGAGCAGAACCTCTCCCCGTTCAAAAAAAGAGAACAGGTCCGAGACCATACTAAATCTTACTGCTATCTTACAAGTGTGTTCAAATGGTATTGCATTACTCTCTGATCGTGTTATAGAAAATTGGGATCTAATATGGTGGAGTGGAAACAGTGATAAACAATTGATTGATTGCCTTCATTTTTAAGTTGATGAATTCCCACTTGATTAATCGAGATCTTGCTTGAATTTCATCTGGGTTGATTAGTTTTAATGACTGTAAGGGCATGAGTTTCTGGGCTCTCAAAGAATGTTCTGCTGGCTCTTAAGCTCCGTAGTTTTATGACATCGCCAGTTGTTCTCTTCACTCGTGTTTAGCAGACTTCGACCTTGATCGTTGTACCAAGCACAATAGAATATTTCGAGTTTGCTGATTCTATTCGTTCTCTTAGGTGTGCTCATTGCTTTCATTTCCTTGAATGAGGTAGATGATGGATATTCTGATCTCCAAAATGAATTTGTAGGCTCGTAATGATGTATCACAAATGAGGGCAACGGTGTCTTTTATCCGAAATTGTTGTCTCAGTTGTTGCTTGAACCCTTGTAAAAGACGTTGTCTTACCAGCTGTTGATCATTGTGATGATAATGATAGTTGGCAATTGAGTATAATTTTGTATGCTTGGTGTGGCAAGTCTAATCCCGATGCATGAGATGTGAATCGGGTAATTATGCAATTTGCGTTCACTGTTCATGGTCCTCCTAGCTGTTTCCTGTTTCCAGTCTCCTCATCGTTTTTTGTATTTTGCACATGGACTATTCATCATTGCTTACACAAGTAATGAATGAGATTGCTCAGGCGACATTTTGTGGGTAAGAAGGGGAAGTCTTCCTGCAGTTAAATTGATATTGTTTGGATTTAGCATTCTGGAATTTGACAGCCCAACTTTTATTATGAATTTCTGTGTCGATCATGGAGCTTAAAGTTAATTCAAACTTTATCTTTGTGCGAGCCAACAAATGTACTGATGGTTATCATTCTGGACAACAAAACAGAGAAATTTTTGTTTTCCTGGTTCTTACATGCACCTAAAGTTTTTCGTTTTCCTGGTTTTTACATGCGCCTCTTTTCTTATCCTTCTGGATTTGTGGTATCTCTAAGATCAAGGTAGAAGTTCCTTTCTTTTGCACTTCCTTCTTCTTTTTTTAGTTTTTGCTGCATCCCATTGCATATGGCTTTGTATGTAGTATTGTGCCACCTTTATCTTGGTTTTTTAAGTACACCGTGCTTGTCCAAAGAGGGATTCTCTCTCTCTCTCTCGGATTTTGAATTAATATTTCCTGTTTTTACAGGCATAAACAACCGCAAACACTAGCATGGAGTTAGCGGACGGGGCAGATGGGTTTTTGTTATCTTTAATCAGCATATTGAGTTCACTTATTATACTTTCTGGGCTATCCGTGGGCATTTTTTAAGGTTCCTTCCCTCCACCACCTCGGTCTTTTCCTCGGGCGTTTGTGTGCGCGTGCGCCTGTACATTCAGGCAGCTTACATACGTTGAGACTGATTCCATTTTTCCAATATGATCGAAGACAGGCTATGTCCACACTCTTTTTAATTACATTTTTCTTCTTCTAAAAACATATCACATGTTTTTGTTGGTTTTGACTTTTCTGCTCTAATATCAAAAGAAAATTCAATCCTACCATCTACAGGGTTCTTTGCTTGGTTATCAGCCAAGGTTATTGTTATACTTGCAGCCATCACATTTAGTGTTTGAGATGCTGACGCATACAATTTCGTCCTCAATTATCTCTTCAGCACTTGAACAAGTCACTTCGAAGGTAATGAGTAGCGCAATCTCTCTGAATCTGACCATGTCAAATAGCATCATGTACTTTCTATGTATATTTTTTTTTTGAGACTCAAAACTTGGTGTTTGTGTTGCGGGCAAGTTCTGGAACTCTTCAAACACAATCCATATACACAGAAGTAACTCGAGACACCTGCGAGTTACTTACGTTCAAAATGGATATCTATTTCTCAAAAAGACAGGGAAAAAAAAGGTTTCTGCGACCCCGTTGATCATTATGCACCCGTGAATGCCTGAAGAGCCAACAAGCACATAATTCATATGAAAGGGAAGATCTCAAACCTAAAATCTCAAGCATGTCTCTAAGGGACAAGAAGAGAGACCTAAGATTAAAATGCATACATTATTCTGACTCGCCTGAAACACTGATACTTTTTCTGAACGAACTCGTGGCAGAATTATCCGGCCTTTCATGATCCGTATTGCGCTGGGGTTGCTGGAAAGAAGATAGACCTGCTTAAAACTGTTTTGGAACATTGTTTAACCTGGCATCAGACAATACATAAATCGACATCTTAATCATCTTCAACATTCTTTTTTTTCTATGCGAGTTGAATGCTTCTATGTAAAGCACAAAACACCTACAAATCTTCTTGTGTTAGGTAGGATTTTCATCAATCAAATTGTTAAAAATAATTCGGCGAGGTCTTACATATATGTTTCAGATTTTATGAGAACACAAGTTGCTGAATGTAATGCAGTTGTAAAGCAACACCTTCAAAGAGATGGCGCAACCTTTTTGCATGGTAAAGTGTCAATAATCACATCGATAAAAGCTACGGTGGAGAAGAAAAGAAAAGAAAAGAAAAAGCAAGCTACGGTGGAGAAGAAAAGAAAAGAAAAAGCGTGTCAAGATGCACTCTGTACCCACTGAGACGATACATTCTTCCAGAATGAAAATTAACAAATCCCAATTCATTCTGTTGGTTTGTTGAATTAGATTAATTTCCAGGGTGCCTGGCTCAAATTTTCTGCGTAAAAAAAAAAAGGTAAGGGACATTTCAAGCAGAATCACATTATTCAACCTGTAACCAACAATACAACATTCCAAGCCGTTCCATACAAACCAGAAGACTTTTTTGCCAAGAGCTACTAGTATTTAAGAGCGATATGAACCAAACAGAACAGAACATACCAGAAGCAACTCCAGTGGCTTCAAACCCAAGAATTATCAAAAGCAGCTGATGTGATTGCCTGGGAAAACTCCTGGAAACTTATTCTTCCATCCCCGTCAGTGTCTGCCTCCTTGATCATCCCTGTCAATTCCTCTGCTGTAAGAGCATGCCCAAGTTTTGCCATCGAATGTGCCAACTCGGCTGCTGTAATAAACCCATTACCGTCTCTATCAAACATCTTGAACAGATGTTTTAGCTGCTCCTCGCTATACGGTGACTTCTCCGGAAGCAGTTCTGGTGCCACCAGAGCCACAAACTCTGAGAACTCAATTAAACCGTTGCTGTTTGTATCTGCCTTATGAATTAAGGTTTCAAGCTGATCAGGACTAGGTTTTAGTCCTAAGGACCGCAAGAGTGAGCCTAACTCAAGCTGCGTTAAGCTTCCATCATTGTTTCGATCAAAAGAACGAAATATTTCCCGTAGCTCAGAAATTTGCTCATCATCTAGCTTCACAGCTGGTTGCTTGTTGCTCATATTGTTAACAAGAACAAAAAAAAAAACTCCCTTTTCTCAACTCACTTTCTTTACCGTTTCTATCTTTAATTCTTTGCAAATATGATCAAATAACAGTCCTGATACATAAGACTAGATAATATTTGAACAAACGAAAAGCAAAAATATTTCGCAACTAAGGTATGAACAAGAATTGCAGGATGACAAATTCTGTGTTTGAATAAAATAACATTCACCTCTGCTCTTGACATAAGTATTTGAACCATACCTTTATTTCTTTCATTTTCAACATTGATTCACTTCTATCCTCCCAGTGGCATATATCATCAGTTATAGATGTCTCTCTTTCTCAACAAATCCTGGGAATGGATGATTTCTTTTTCCGTGACCAATAAAAAGAGATTTGAGAGATCCAAGATTTGCCTTGATAATCGTTCTTTCTCGCTTGGATCTCTCCTATTTACAAGTGATCAAACCCCAACCCAATTATCGGATCCAATATTGAAGAGAAAAGGAGAAACAAAAACAGACACCCGAAGGAAGAAGCCAGGATTAAGAAACTTCGGTGATGTTTAAAAAGATGAACACGTAGTACAATGTTAAAGACTTTTTCGTAATTTTTGTTTCAGCTAATGCAGAGTCAACACCAACACCAAAGACAAAGAATGGATTTAATAAATGGTGGGTTACAAATACAATTCAAATATTCCATGAACTATTTATTTGCTTTTGGAAAGAAGAAATCCAGAGCGGCAAAAGAGGCGCCAGTTCCGTGATTGGTGCACGTCTTGTTTGCTATAGAGTCACCTTCTCAATGACTTTGTCAACCAACCATTTTTTTAAAAAAAAAAAAAAAGAGAAAAAAACAATGCTTCTTCCAATCCAACCAAGTGGGGTGTTTGTATACAAGAGGGAACGACAACAAATCATGTTTTGCCACTTGGCATTTTGACCCGTCAAGCATTTGCCCATTTGAAGAAGCAAAAAAAGAAAAGAAAAAAAGAAGTTGAACCAAGGTTATTTATTTTCAGTAACATATTTTATATGTGAAATGTTTTTTTATAAAATGTTTTCTATAAAATCATGTAAAATATTTTTCTATTAAATATTTTTTAGGTTAATGGATAAGCAAGTGGTTGTAAGATAATAATAGTGGTGATGATATATAGAATGATAATGAGACAATGATAATGATGATAAAGAAAGGATAATGATAAGATGACAATGATGTTAATAAGATAGTCGTGTTGATGGTAAAGGAGATGGTGGTAAGATGATGATAATGATAATGAAGAAAAAAGTTATGATGAAGAAGGAAAAAAAGTGGCCATGAGATGATGATGATTGTAAGATGAAGACGGTAGTAACAGAGGAAACAATAATGAGGTTATGATAAAATGATAGTAATGATGAGATGATAACTATGGTAATAAAAGAGACGATGATGAGATGATAATGGTATAGACAATAATAAAGTGGCTGTGAGATCATAACGCTAGTAAGATAACTATGTTAATGATAGAGTAAACTATGATGAGGTGAAATAAAAAATAGTGGTAATGAAAATATTTTATTTGAAATAGTTGGATGATATTGTTACCATATTATTATTTATAAATTATTTTATGAAATTTAATGAGATGAAAATATTTTTCAACATATAAATTAAATTTAAAAATTGATTGTAACATATTTTTTATTAACTAGTTCTTTTATAAAATATTTTATGATAAAAAATAGAAAAACATATTCCAAAAACAAACATAAAAATTATAAAAAATTATTTTTCAGAAAATTAATTTATATATATAAAAAAGAAACAAGAAAAGAAATTAGTCTGGTTGTGGTGAAGGATAAAGCATCCAAGGAGGGAGGATATGCAAAAGGAATGGGAGGGGCATGCACTCACGACGTTGATGTTGGTGCAGTCCTAAATTATTTGGTTTTGACTTTTGAGCATTTTAGCATAATATTAATCGGTGGATTTTAAAAGGACAGATGTAAGAATCCAACCTTACCTGTCAGGATGACGGTCGAACTACTTCTATGCTAAAAAAAACTTAGAAATCACCATGAAGCTTCACTCTTTATATGGAGAAATTTTATAATATCCATGAAAAAACTAGTCTTATCCTATTATGTACAGTACAGGGAAGCGCTTCATTTTTATTTTCTTTTCATTTCCCCTCCTTTACAAAAATAAAATAAATTAATTTCATCTTTTTCCTCCCTCAATTTTATTCTAGATTATTTTTAACAATTTCTCAAGTTATTTTTGAATTGAACAAATCAATATAATCATACCAAGCATTTAATAAATTTTAAATTTGACACAAGTAAGGAATCGGGGCATGAGATTTTTTATGTTAGTTTCAAATTTTTTAATTTTATCTTTATTTTTTTTATTGTTCAGCTTATTGTCTTTAAATAGGTCAAGCCATTTAATTCATGTTAAAATAACTCTTGGATGATTAAATTTTAAATTTAAATTAAATAAAAAGTTAAGCTAAGAGTTTCTTTTCCTTAGTAATTTCATTTTTTTCTCAATTCTGTCTTCAAACTTGTTTTACTAATTGACTGGTTATCTTTACATTGATCAAGTTGACTTGGTTAGGAAAGACAATCCCCACAATATTTAATTTTAAACCTAGATTAGATAAGAAAATAGATTAGGAGGTTTGTTTTATATATTTATTATTTATTTTTTAATTTTATCCTCATATTTTTTTTACCAGTCAACCCTCATATTTTTTCTACCGGTCAACCGGAATGCTGTTAAACTTGTTAAGTTGATTGAGTCACATTGAAAAAACTCTCACATAATTTAATTTTTAATCCAGGTTAAGTAATAAGTCAGGTCAAGAAGGTTTTTCATGTTAGTTTTTTTTTTCCTCAATTTTTCCTCACTTTTTTTTACCATTTGGTCAAATTATTTTTAAATGGGTCAAGGCAACAAGGTCATATCAAGACAACTCTTATATGAACTAAGCAAGGACTCATCTTGAGATGTTTTATTTCTATTTTTTTTTTAATTTTATTCTCATTTTTTTTACTGGTTGATTGAGATGAGATGCTTTTGAACTAGCCAAGTAATCTTGTAAAAAAAAATCTCATATAATTTAAATTTAAACTCAAGTTAAATTATGAGATTTCAAAATTAAGTTGTTGGATTGGGTTCAATAAAAATATTAAATAGTTCTAGACAGTTTAGATATTTTTTGACAAATTTAATAAAATTTTGATCTAACCGGCAATGTTTGCACGGCTTGAAACTATAAGAAATTTGTTCTTTTGGTTAATACTAATTTGTATGTTAGTACTAGACCCAAATTTTTTTAATTATATATAAAAAAATTACAGGTCTTGGAAAATATTTTAACAATGCCATTAAAGCTGAAAAATACAATCATTTTGATTTTTTTTCAATAATATAAAATTTTTAATTAACACATTTCGTATTTATCCTATCCAATATAATATTTTTAATTAGAATTATTGTTTCCACTACACACACACATACTTTGTTAAAATAAGTTATCAAAAAATATCAAGAATAGTATGCCTATATTTTTCATGACGGAAAACTAAAACAATTATAAATGTAATAAAATCATGTTTAAAATATATTTAAACAATTTTATAATAAAAAACTAATTTTAATTAAATTTTCATGAACAATTTATTATTAGTATTATTATTTTGAGATCAAATACGTAATAATTAGAAAAAAATATTAAAATTTAAATAAAAATATAAAATAGTATTTAAGAGTCTTTTCAAAACTAAAGAGTAAATAAATTTTGTAAAAACAATTTGGAGTGTAAAAAAAAAACCAAAAAAAAAAGGGAAAAAAAATCAACAACAGAGCAGGTCTGATGCTCAGCTCACCAATAACAGGCTAGGGGTGCTTAGCCCTGGCCTGTGTTTCTTACTATGTCCATCTCTTTTTTTAAAATAAAAATAAAAATAAAAATAAAAATGACCAATAATTCAAAAAATAGTTACGCTCCCTAGCGCTCGAACTTGCAATCTCTAGAATGTTACAACGCTAACTAGCGAAACCACGACGCATATTTGTCATAAAACAATTAAAATACATACATACAGCAAAAATTATAATTCTCTTATAATATTTAAATAATTATTAGTTAATAAAGAGTTACAATTTTCTCAACCTGAACAATTTTCTGGTGCATGCTTTCAACATCATAATCTATTTTTATCAAATATTTGATATGATATAATATAATGTAATATAATAAAAAAAAGAGGATGTAACATAAGATTCATTATATTTGTTTTTGTATTTTAAAAATATTTTTATTTTAAATTAATATTTTTAATATTTTTATATTATTTTCACGTGTTAATATCAAAATTAATTTTTAAAAAATAAAATAATAGTATTATAATATATTTTTAAATAAAAAATATTTTTAAAAACAACTGCAAAATGCAACAACACTTTAAACATATGAAATACCTGTTCATTGTTTGTTTTCATGGATAAGCTAAAACTTAAAAAACTTAATCTTAATCTCTTAAAACTTGAGGATGTTACCAAGCACCTGCATTTCAATATCTTCCTTTGGAATTATAATTTTACAAGTAGAATAACCCATTTAAAAAATGTGTAATCTTATAATTATATCGGAATGTAAGGGTTTCAAAGTTCTATCTTTTCCTTTGCTGGATCTAGGCATCTTATTCACCATTTGAACCATTCCCTTTTCTACAAGGTCCGGTATAGAAGAGAAGACACTGTACATCCACATTATAGATACCACGTTGCAGAACGCACCTGGCTACAGTTCTAGAAGAGGGCTTCCTTCTTTAGCAAGAATGAAAAGACCACCATCCCCTCTTGAGATTTGGAGATCCTCATCAAGGTAGGTAATGAGAAGCCAGGTGCTTACTCGGTTGCCTGGAATGGGAACCTTAAGCGGCGGCTGGCCAGAAATGGTTCTTCCAATATTTGCTGCTGCCTCCTGCAGAGGACCAAGAGATTGCTGGATGGGAGACAGATTGATCTTTTGCCCAAAAAGATCAAAATTTTCTGGGAGTTCTACGCTGGAATTTATCTGTGGAGGTTGCAGCACGCCTTCCTTAAACTCCACCTGGGCATATTAAAAGTAGAGGAGACTAGTAAGGTTTAGTTAAATCCTAATGCCAGAAAGTTTGAAGGGGAAATTTTGAGAAACCAACTACTCACAGGAGGGGCCACAAAGCTTAAATTAAAACAGTATCTTTCCAATGCAATCATTTTTTTTGCTTTCTTAAGAAGATGCTATATTACTATATTTTTCTAGTTTTCTTTCCAATTTTTTTACATAAAAAAGCCAACATTGTTTCAACAGTTTTAAGAGGTACCCGTATTCTTGAAGGAGTTCGAAACTCAAAAGTAGCAGAAGCGCTAAAGGAGAAAGTAGCAAAAGGGCCTGACAATGTGGTTGAGTTCACTATAGATAGACTGCTAGCATCAATTGTTTGAGATATGCTTTTCACTTTCAATAAAGGGGTAGCACCTGCTGCCAGAAGTGGCAACAGCTCTGAAAATGCAGTATACCTGTCAATAATAAATCCAAATTAAATAAAAATAATTCATATTTAAAGACAACGTAAATGAAAAAAAAATGATCTCATTTTTGTCAATTCACCAAGATGATTGTTACAATGTTTTCCATCATGCAACTCAAATCACCAGCAAAAATCTGCATTTTTCAGAAACTCTCGGGAAGCATAACCGCAGTTCCACCGAATTGTAATCCTCATACATTTCATTTGGTATGT